GCCCGTTTTCCCGGGATTTCAGGCACTGGCACACTCACCCTCCTGGCACAGGGCCGGCTCCAGCTGCAGCAGCAGTCCCAGGAGCAGCAGGCAGCGGGCAGCCATGGTGGCAGAGGGCTGTGGAGGAAGAGCCCTGGCGCAGGAATGAGCGCCGGGTCAATTATCAAACACCTTAACGAGGGAGGCCGATGCTCTCACCTGCTTATTCAAATCCTGCTGCGGGAAGGGGCGGAACGAGGCGCCTCTCTCGGCTTTCTCCCGCGGAAGCTGGAGGGGAATTTGGGGCACGGTGACTTGAACCTGACAGTCCCCTTTGGTAGGGCGTGGAAAGGGATTCAGGCACAAAGAATTTGTATTGGCCCGGGAGGAAAAAATGACACCCAGATGAGTAAAATTCTTCTTCAGTGAAGCTGTGGTGCTTGGGGACACTGCTGTCCCCCAAGTCCCCTCCCCACTTGGACTCCCCAAATCCAGTGATCCCCCAACTCTGATATCCCTTCCCACCCTGTGGGACCCCCATTCACTTCTTTGCTCTTTTCTTTTTGGCAAGTGTTACTAACAACCTAGCAAAACAAATTTGTGACTTGAAAACGTCCATTTAATAAACAAGACTCGGTGCTGGGTGCTGCCTCTCACCTCCCACACCTCGTTTAATGGTGACACTGTCAACCAGAGCAAACYCAGCCTTCATTTTATTGAGTTTTCAGGACTGTCTCCAAATTTTCCTCAACACTAGAAGAGGTAGAAACACCCAAAAAGCTGCAGCASACAGCAAGGTTTGTCCTTCAAGAAAACGGCACAGATATTCCAGGACAGAGAAAATTGCAGGTCCCAAGTTAAGCAGTTTTCCAACCCATGTCAGGTTTGGATGGCTGGCAAACCCATTCCACAGGAAGAATAAGAGATATTTGGCTTTTCAGCTGAGAAACTTCAGCTGTTCCTGAAAGAAATTATAAAATTCTGAGCCAGAGGTTTCACGGTAGCTCTTTTCATGGTGAGTCACAGCACCTCTGTAACCCCTTAACTATATCTGTGCCCCCAGCCTCTGGATCTGGTGATTGYCCCTCCAGGGTGCTCCATCCTGAGCAGCAAATCACACTTTATCCACCTGGGAGCCATGCTCAGGAATGTGTATCCCCCTCAGGAGCACACATGCACGGCAGGAGGACTGCCCTCCTTCAT